GTGCAGATGTTTCACTGGATCTCAACAACCAGATGAGACCTGCACTGCAGTCATGGCTTCTTAGTATGTGGAAAGACTGGCCTTGATCTGGATGAAGACTCTGGTCACCTTAGCCCAACCCACACTGAAGAACTGCCTGATCCTGAGCCACTCAGGGGGAAAAGAAGGAAGTAAGTTGTTGGTGTTGCATATTGCACACAGCACCTGAGGTTTGTTACAGCACCCTGTGTATGGCACATTGGGCTGACTGGGCAAACCTCTTGATGTACCTTTTGAACCTCCATGACAAGTGCTCACTCCAACCCATCTCAAAAGTTCTATCACATACATGTACATGACAACAAAAACTGTAAAACTGGATGCTAAAGAAATGGTAGGTTGAATGTGTAGTCATTGTGTATGTGTATGTGAAAAAAACCATCTCCAACAAGACTGACTGCTGGTACCTAGACTCTGGCGCCACAGGGGCCTCCTACACAACTTCATCAAACAAAAGGACAACACCTGCACCCTGCTTCTGGGCAACAATCATCAGTGCCCAGTTCTCAGGCACAGTACACTCAGAGCCACCACCATGATCAATGGCAAGACACAATAGGTAGTTCTGCAACATGTTCTCTACGCGCCCAAGCTCACTAAGAACCTGGTGTCAACTCATCACACACAACAGACCAGATCCAGATCAACTGCAACAGGTGCAGAGTTTGTGCAGCCAATGGCAAGGTCATCCTGCGATCACCCTTGTTTCGCGGTGCGTATGCGGCACACGGACCGCGACGAACGGCGAGATAGGGACCGCGCCATCACCGCCTTTACAGCACGCACGCAGGCACGCGCTCGGCCGCGATGGGGCGCGTCGTCGATGCCCCACGCTTTACGCCTCGCGGCTGGCAGACGAACGCGAGCGAAGTACCTCGCGTCACACCCACGCACATCGACCGCGTCATACGCACGCTTATTCATCTCACATCCGCTCGATCATCTCACCATGCCAGTCTCCGGAGCTCTCACTCAGCTGTCGGCCCAAGGCCCTCAGAACCGCTATCTCACCATCGACCTGCAGATCACCTACTGGAAGGGATCCGTGCGGCGTCACTCGCACTTTGCCGTCGCCGAAATTGACAATGGTGTCCACGGAGCCACCGGCTGAGCAGATGCACGAGTACCTCATCGACGAGGTGCAGCACTCGAGCTCCGAGTCGCACACCCCCGGCGTGTGATCGCAGCACGTGCGCCTCAACCACCCGGTCAAGGAGCTCCTCTGGGTCGTCCAGCGCGACTCGGCCATCACACCCACGCCCTACACCGGCCCCGGCGCCCTCGCCGGCGGCCTCGGCAACGACTGGTTCAACTGGTCCGGCCAGTACGACGCCGGCCTGGGCCTCGTGTTCGACCCCATCGCGTCGGCCGAGCTCCAGCTCAACGGCCACCGGCGCACCCTCGAGCACCCCGCCCAGTACTTCCGCACCGTGCACCCACGCGAGAAGCACACCAGCAAGCCCAGCGGCTTCGTCTACAACTACAGCTTCGCCCTCTACCCCGAGGACAAGCAGCCGTCGGGGTCGTGCAACTTCTCGAGGATCGACAACGTGACCCTCCGCCTCATCTTCCCCACCGCCTACAACTCCGAGTCGGCGGCCCACGCCACTCCGTTCAACGGCCAGATCCGCGTCTACGCGCCCAACCCCAATGTTGTTCTCGTAACGTCAGGGATGATGGGTACGTTACTCCTTCCAGTATTGATTATGTGTTATGTGTTTACCTCGTATACTAACCACTTTTCTCTCCTCTTTTGCAATATCACAGGCAAGCTGGTACGTTCGTTCATGGCCTCTTCCTGTCGTTGTTGTTTGCTCATTGCTCTCTCTTTCTCTCCACAGTATGCCAACTAAACAGTGTGCACCGAGACTTTCGAGGTTGGTTGATGGCGCGTGGTGGTCAAACATGCGGCACAGCTGAATTCGAGGCTCCGTGTTCAGAAGGCGACGACATCAGAGTGGTCCCTCACGGATTTACGGCGTCTCACAGATTGTGCTCGTATATAGCGGTTAGGTGTGTGATGAAGTTGCTCGTGGTGTAGTGCTTCTTCATGCGACCGCATCTCTCACAGCAAGCGACGCAATTGCCAGCTCGGTCCTCCAAATGTGGTACCAGTGCCAAAGATGTTTGTGGCCGTAACTGTTGGTGGGTCGGCCGTGTGAGCGAGCTTGAGCGAGGCTGCCCATATGGCGCGTGAGCGATTTGTGTGGAGACAGCAGGTAGTGATCGAAACCCATGTAGGGAGGGTCGAGAAAGAGAAAGGCGTCGCAGGGGGAGTCGCAGAAGACATGTCCTCGGCACAGCTGTGTTGCATGTGCACCGAGTCCCGACCATATTGTAATATGGGTTTCGGTGTATAGGGTCACTGTTCGAACGTGAGTATCCATAGAAAAGTTAACGGTTCTCACGGGTATACACACGTCTCTCTGTGTCTTGAAATGGTGACCTAACGCCCAACTTCAAGGTATAAAATGGCAGGTAAGATGATGCTTGGTAAGTTCAACCTTCACCACACAAGCCGAAACCAGCAAGAGCCATCATGGCAATGAGAGTAGCTGCTCTGCTGTTCACCATCTATCTGATGGCCAACGTCAGCGTCCTGCTACATTCAGCGCTGGCATGTGATGTGACCGTACCCATCAAATGGAACCAGAATGGCAAGACAGTCTCCGGAGTTATGAAGTCTACCGACAGCGAATCCTTCAAGATCCAAAGGTAGTGTGACACAAACCCTTTACCGTGCCTATCTTCAACACTGAGCTCAACCATCCCCCACTAGATTCGAACTGAGCTTTGCAGGTGTTGGCGGCTCGACTGTGACGCAAGTAGTGCTGAGGCTGTTCAAAAGGCCTATAGTGACGGGTGGAACGACCACGGTACCTGTTGCCTTTCAGATTCATTCTTTTGTTTCTCTACTCCCCACGTTATCACTAACCCGCCGGATGACCTGAAATATAGGTCCAAAGCTCCCAGGTTCAGTTTGGGAGTGATTGTGGAGCGTGCACACAAAAAATCATTGACGATACGTGGCCGACCTTCCCTTGCCATTCAGCAGGTTGCCAACACCACCTTGAGCTCTGCTTTCTTCTTGGTGGGAGGTAACACCAAATTGCTGCAGGGTCTTTCTCCTTTGGTTCTCCTCTCGTGACTATATCTTGGGATCAAGCGCCTGCCCCCGGCAACCACACAACGCAAAGGTTGTTCTTTCAATATTGAGTTGTTTTGCCGTTCCAGCGTTGATTTTGTTCTTGCCACTGTCCTAACCACCTCTCCTCTCAACGACATTAGTTTACTTGCAGATTGGGACTCCCTCCAATGCCCTCTTTCATGTTCCCGAGAAGCTGACATCGTCTTCTTAGGTTCCTTCCTAATCTTGCTATTTGGTTGCATCAAAGATCTGATTGTACATGCTCTGTCCATTCACAGTGGACGCCAGTGGCAGCATTGATTGCCCCGATGGTTCTTGTCCTGGCGACACGTCAAATGGTGCCTATGCAATGTCTGTTTC